ACCCTAAAATTTATAATTTACAAATACACAAAACTATTAAACATTACATTGAAATCAATGAATTACAAAAAAATCATTGAAATTTTTTAAACTTTGGAGAGGTAATTTGCAAAGTACTAAACTTTAAGGATGTTTTTTTTATAAATTTCAAATTTAATAGATTTTTAATTAGTTATGTTCTTTTGAAAAAAGTTATGGGTAATATTTACCATAAAAGTTTTTCCTAAACCTATACTTTTAAAAGGTGTATGATATTTTTTACAAAATTTTAATTTTCTAGGGGTTATTAGTAGTTTTTCATATTCATTTTAGTGTCTATAGGTTAGAAATTCTCATGATATTTTTTTTATAAATTATAAATTTTAAGGACCTTTTACAAGTTTCTAAACTTATAGGCCTTTTATACAGATTGTAAATTGTTTATAAACTATTTATAATTCCTATGCTTTCAATATACTAATAAATTTGAAAATTTTAGGGTGTTTTTTTATAAATTTTAAATGTTTGTTTGTAATTTTTGAAACTTTAAGTGTGTTTTTTATAAATTATAAATTATGTAGGGGATATTTATAATTCCTATATTTTTAATGTACTATTAGGTCAAAAATTATCAGGATTTTTATAAATTTTATAATTTTAAGGGTTTTACTTTGTAATTTGTAAAAAGTACCAGCGTGTGTATTACAAATTCCATAAAAATTTGGGGGTTGTTTATGTTATTTGTAGGTTTTTAGTATGTTTATAGGTTTGAAAATTTTAAGGTGTTTTTTATAAATTTTGAATTTTTAGGGGTATTTTTATAATTTATAAAACTTACAAGATATTTTCTCTAAAGTCAAAAAACTTTTAGTTTCTAGTTAGCATATGTTTTTCAGATTTCTCACTGAATTGAGATAAGTAAAATTTATAATTTTTAAGATCCTTTAATAAAATTTTGAATTTGTAGAGACGTTTTTGTAATTTAAAAAACTTGGAGAATATTTTTTAGAAAGTCCAAAAACTTTTAGGTGCTGGTTAGCATATGTTTTTTAGATTTCTCTACGAACTGAAATAAGTAAAGGATTTGAATTATATGAAACATATCTATTCATATGTTTTTTAGATTTCTCTACGAACTGAAATAAGTAAAGGATTTGAATTATATGAAACATATCTATTTTATCCAATAACATGTTAAGTCTGATTTGAATTATATGAAACATATCTATTTTATCCAATAACATGTTAAGTCTCATTATGAATAGAATAAATAATTTGGTTACCAATTCAAATTGAACAGGATAATTATAATGTGACGCCCCTGGGTTCACACAAGGCTGTAGTCCGAGGTGAAACCAGAAATGTCAAACCTGCCATGCACCACACGGTGTAATAACATGTTTCACCATCACAATTACTATCTCTATAGTGGAAACAACAACAGGTGTAGTACAAAGCAAGTAAAAGATTATACAAGAATCAACTGATGAAATAATAGAGATCAAATTAGTATTTCACCATTTAATATATTGGAATACAAATAAATATCTGAAATAAATAAACTGGAGTTCTCAACAAGTCTCAAATACAAAATGTCTGACAAGAGGAAATAAGGCACACAACCTTTATAACTTCTAGAATAAAACTCTCAAATATCTAAACAGAAGTCTACAGTGGAGCTCAAAAGAAAATATAACTAAATGATTGGCTGAAGCTAAAGTGCATCGCCATCAACCTGCGACTCTCCGGGCTCCTGGCTCGTTACCTGAAAGGGGGAGGGACAACGAGCGTCAAAGCGCTAGCGAGCAACATCACAACCAACCCCAAGGGACAGGGCTCGTTGTATATGAAAATACAGTTTATACATAATAATATAAAATCACTTATACTAACAATAGTGGGTTTTAGTACTTAGGAAATTACAACACGAGCATAGGTACGTCGAGCGAAATAATCCAAACAAGGAAACCCTCATGTATATACCTTGTATCTCAAATTTTAAATCCCTAAATACTAAACCCGAGGTTTAGTACAAGAAACAATAAAGGAAAAGAAAACAAAACCCATCTCTACCGATACAATTTAAACATGTCAAGGCTACAATAAATGTCATGTCCAGCCTAGGTGGCAATCATGTCCCAGACTCATATAGTATGTCGTTTTCCAAAAGAAAAAAAAATCGGTTAAGAAAACTTACTCAAGGTTCAGCAATTATCCAACATAAGACTGTAATGGATTATAGTCCAACACGAGGACTTTAATGGATTATAGTCCAACACGAGGACTTCAATGAATTATAGTCCGACACGAGGACAGTGAATATGAAACATGAAATACTAGTAGTATAGGTATACGTATTCTACTCTTATACATGCCCCGCTGTACAGAACTAAACATGTGTCCGAAAAGTCATCTTACATAAGTAGATGAAAAAAAATCATAAATACTGTAATTTAATACCCGATAAACAAGGCAGCTTCTCATGTTCAAAAAAATGATGAACGGTACCCTCGATGATATATGAACACTGTATGAATGAATAAGCACAGTAGGTGATCAAGCAGAAACACAAACAAAATAGGAAAAACTCCGATGAGTCGGCTCATCATCAGCTATGAGTCGACTCATGACTCATGGGTCGACTCGTGAACTGACGAGTCGACTCAGCAGACACTAATAGAAACAGGGATTGACTTTGTGAGTCGACTCATGACAGTCATGGGTCGACTCAACCTGATGAGTCGACTCATGATGAGTCATGAGTCGACTCACGATGAGTCATGAGTCGACTCACGGGCTGAAAACTGGATATTTCACAACTGCAGCTCGTCCATCTCGTTATATACTCCCACTAAACTGATCTTCACCTCCATAACTATCAATTCTAGACTATGAGGCAGTGATAAATTCATACATAGCATGAGAAACGAACACTAGCATGTTAGACCAAACTTTTAACTCCTAAACATGAGAGAAAGCATTTAATCAAAATAAAGCTCATATTTTATTTCTTTAATTAAAATTCCAGATCTGGGTTTTCATCAAAAACTTATTGGTGGGGATTTAAAATCCGAAATACATGATTTCTAGCATTAACCCTAACAAGGATATTGATTTATACTTGAAAATAAGTCTTAGGCTCAATAAAACTCATGGAAAACAGTTATAAACTATTAAAAACATGGGAGAAGGATTGGGCGAGATGTTACTCGCCTCAGATGTGATGAAGAGCAATCCCCTTCGCTGCAATCCACAAAAAGCTGTTGAAAGTCCCCAAAAATCGCCCAAGAATGCCCAAAAACGAGCTAGGGTTTTGAGGGGGAGAGGAGGCTAGGGTTTCTCTAGGGTTTTCTGAGTGTTTTCGGGTGGAGGGAAATATATATTAGTGGGTAAAACCCGACCCGAAACCCAAACAAACCCGACCCAAAAAACCAGAAAAACCCCGATGAGTCGACTCATGGCAGTCATGGGTCGACTCATGACTCATGGGTCGACTCATAATATAATGAGTCGACTCAGCAGAGACTTATGACAAAGGGAGATGATATCATGAGTCGACTCATGACAATCATGGGTCGACTCATGAGCTGAGAACTGAGTTCTTCGACTCTGATGCTTATGATTTGCAAATTTGCAAACTCAACCTCATAACTGATGTATATATACCTCCTCATAAGCTCAAAAATGCTAGCTTTCATGCACAACCTTATCATAAAGATATTTATCATAAATAAATATTATTTCTCACTAATAGTCACATATATAAATTATCAAAACTTACGGGGTCTTACATATAATATATTAGGATAACAATGTAATATTTTAAAAAGGTAAAGGTAATATTAAGCATAGAAAGATTTTCCCGAACTCGTACTTTTAAAGGGAGTATGATGACTAATAAGATTATATAAAGTGTAAATTATGCTAAACTCCAAGACCTTTCAACATTTTGCAAGAATCCCCTAATGACTTTCGAAATCATACTAAAGCCCAAGAACCTTCAGCATTTTTGCAGTAAACCCCCAATCGCTTTCCGAATCACACCGGACCCTGAATAACTTTCGGAATTAAAGAAAACTCTCGTTAAATTTCTAAGTTTTTGCTGATATCCCCTATAAATTAAAACAAAAGGAAAAATAAAAAAGCACTTTCAAGGAAAACTTCAAGGAAAAAAAATAGTTTGTGAGACCCCAATGTGGATGCGAGCGAAAGGAGAACGAATAATAAAAGACCAGATATTTTCTATGGTTGAAAATATAAAAAGGTCATAAAAGGACTTCTAACAATTTAAGGGTTTTTTTAATATTTTTAAGTCATTGCAGTTGCACGTGCCGCATGAGATGTAATAGTGTTTGACTTTCGAGTTTTTTTTACAAAAGTTATTTGGAGTTTCGTGAGATTATAAAAGCTGTTGGGGGTGTACTGTAAAACACTAAAAGTTGTTTGAGGCCCCTCCATGTAAACGTATCTCCTCTTCGATAAGAGGCTGTTTGGTTCGTTTCCTTGATATAGAGAAATACAATTCCATGCAAAGAAACACAAGTTTTGAGTTTTCCAAACTTTTCTAAGAAATAGATTGTTTTGCTTTGGTTCGCACATAAAAAATGGTGGGAAACCAATGTATTTATTTTTTTTGTATTTGGTTCGCATAGAAAAAAAAAGAAAAACTTTTATAAACAAAGCAGAGAAGGAAAAAAATCTGACGTGGCAGAGTTTTCATCATTTTCACTTGGTTGGGGAAGGATATCGGAGAGGGAAAAAAATCTTAGTTGGCGGCGATTTCAGCAGAGTTTTCCCTCTTCCATTCGAACGAACCAAAGCGGCACAAAAAAATGGACGGAAACAAAAAAGCTGACGTAGAAGGCTAAAAATCTGACGTGGAGGAGTTTTCTGAGTTTTCCACCCCTTATGCGAACCAAACAGCCCCTAAGAATCGTCAAATGCGGAAAAATTAATGACCCAAAAAATAACAAAAACAAATAACAAACAAATAAAAACTATATATTTAAAAATTAAAAAAAGGCAAAATTCCCTCATCGTTCTTCTTCCTCCTTCTCGTTCCCGCTCCTGTCTCCTGTCTCAATTTATACCCTCAGATCACGGAGATTTTGCATTTTAGTCCTCTACTTCCTACCATTTCTCTCTCTTGTTTTTTTCCCCTAAACCGCCATCCAATTTTGGGATTTTGATTGGAGATTCGGGATGAAATCGCCATTGAGGAAGCTTAGGGGGTTGGCCTCCAATCACAAGAGCGATTCCAAGGACAAGAAGGATCACCGTCACCATGATCGGCAGCCGGCAATGCGCGATGAGCTCGTCCACGCCACGCAGGTTTTCCAATCTCGAAACCTTCCTCGGTTCGTAATTTTCTTGATTAGTTACGGGAGTTATTGGTTGATTGATCGAATTGAGATGGGATTTGATTGACCCACCATCACCTAAATGCTCGAAACTGAAACGATGTAGCGAATTATTGCAACGGTGTTGCATCCACATTGTGATAATATTATGATTTGACGAGTACCTGTTCAAAATGAGCACCCACCAAGAAAATTTGACCATTAGAAACCAAAAAAAAAAAATTAATGGAAACAAATATCTGTATGTAATGTTTCCTGGATAAATGCATCTCTAACCAAGCTAGGCATGGATAATTCATGGAGGATAGAAAGACACGCAAATACTCAGCCAATGACATTTCCGAAAACCAAGATACCTCTTGAGGTTTCATTGTGACATGCTATTATGATCAACCGTAAAGGGGCATGGACGGTTGCGTAGGTCAAGCGCATAATGTGAAAACAGTTTACACTTGGATAGTATTTTACAGACAAAAAAAAAAACTGTTTTGCTGATTGTAAACATGTTGGTAGATCCTCCAAATTATGCTGAATGTGAGATTTTGATCATTTTTTATTGGGTTTGCAGGACATGCTAGATATGAAAAGATGTTATGATAGCTTACTTTCTGCTGCAGCTGCCACAACAAATAGTGCATATGGTAAAATTTTTATTGCAATTTTAACTTTAAGGGGTTTCTTTTTTGGTATGTTTGGGAGTTCACTTAGGGAAGGGAAGGAAGGGGGGAAAAAAGGGGGAACTTTCTCCTTCTTTCACTTCCCCTTCATTACCCCCAATTTGGGTTGTAACATTTTGGCACAAATTTCCCCCCTATTCCTCTCCTCTACCCTCCTAAATGCAACTCCCAAACAAGGTTAAAATTACATTTCTCTTCCCCTCCCCCTCTCTACCCTCCATCCAAACAGGCCATTTGCATCGTATCCCTTCTATAAAGATTGCCTGCTTGACATGATTATTGGTCATTCACACATCTCAACTATTTTCGATCCCAGGTCTGAACAAAAGTATCACTTGGTATTTGATGCCAAACAAATGACTATTTTGGTACTAATCCTGTTGCGGTTATTTTCTTATTTGTCGTAATAATCTGTGTTAATATGTCCCTTTCTCTTTATTGGTAATAATGGAAGTCAGAGTAATATGTTCCTCTCTCTTTATTGTTAATAAGGATTGGCTGGATTACCATTGAAGCATCATTTAAATCCATACACTGTTGATTAATTACATTAAGAAATTAGCACAGACCCAGTGGGAAAAAACCTAGTGAACTTCTCTGTAGATCAACCCTCAAGGTATAATATCTACTGATGTGCTAGAGCATAGTCTTCAGTTAATTATGTTGCATGTGCTGGGAAGTTTGATGGGTTTTTATTAGATTTTGACGTGTCTTGGTAGACACCAATTTAGGGCATACCAGCCAACTGTAGATTTCCTTCTAGTTCGTTGTTTGTGGCAAGAATATCTAGTATTGACCATTTATTCATGAACTGGTAGATTTCATCATAATGATTGATTAACTCAGATAACAGGTTCCTAACCTATAATTCTTTGATCTATTATTGGTTTCAACTGTTCATGAATGTTGACTAGGCTATTTTTTACCATTTATTCGCTGGTTCTGAGTCTTAAATTTGCTTCTCTTGAGCTTGAGGATGGTTACTTTCGAGGAGGCCAATCTCAAATTATTTTTTGTTTTTTTGTTTCTTTGTTGATTTTTTTGGGTTAAGGACTATTTGATTCCCTGTAAGCTTTGGTAGGAAAAGTTACCATTTGTGTGTGTGTGTGTGTGTGTACATCTGTATGTAGATATATATATACATATTCAAATAATCGTGTCTTTCTTTATGAACAAAGTGATCACTCATGATTTGTATAAAAAATAGCTACTTGTTAAAACCTTATCAATTGTTATACTATGTCCCTCGCCTCAACTCTGCATAGAGCTCTCTCACATGCAATCCTCAGAATATCTGTTTGTTAAATGTTTAATGTAATTGTTATAGATGTAGCAATGCAATCTTGCAGAGCTGTCAGAAGCGCTGGAAGAAATGGGAACATGCTTGCTTAAAAAAACTGCATTGAATGAAGATGAAGACAGTGGCAAGTACATCAAACTTTAGTCTTCTTGTCGCATGCCTTAGAGTAAAATTTCTTTATGACCTATATTATTGATTATCGGGTACTATAATGTAACTAATGCACCATGTCGGTTACATTCTTAAAGTGCAAATTATTTATTTGCTTTCGTAAGTTGGTTGCCATTCCTCAAGGCCATCTTTGTCTGCTGGCTGGTAGAACCTTTGCTTCTAAGGAGACAACTACATGGTAATTCTACTATAAGATTTAAATGCAAAGAGCACGCCTTAAAGACTTTTACTTTTTGTCAAAAGATATTCATAGATTAGTGTGTGTCGTGTGTGTGTATTTGTGTATATCCGCTGCATATGTTTTTGTATTTGCGAGCGCACGCACGCATGCGTGTCGGTGGGCGTGTGTGAGTGTGTTTGCACATGTGTGGTTTGCGTGGGTGTGTATGTGTGTATGTGTGTGTGTATGAGAATAATGTCTATCATATGACATACGAGGGGATTCTTTCATATACAATCGTATACAATAATGTCATTGAATCTCAGCCTAGTGAATAAAGAGGGTTCTTTCTTTGTTACCTAACTCAGCCCGCAACACTTGGCTGATACTCAGCCACGTCACTGTATATGAGAGAATCCTCTCACAGGAGAGAATCCTCTCATATGTCATATGATACATATTGCTCTCGTATAGAAACAGTGGGTATGAGTGGCAGGTTATAACCAATTCCCCCTGTGAATATGTTATATATATTTATGTAAGCACACACAGATTGGTTGATATAGATATGTTATATATGTACCTGTATGTGCTCGTGCATACATACACGCATAGATTGATTGATATAGATATGTTCTTTGTGTACCTGTCCGTGCTTATGCATACACATACGCATAGATTGATTGATATAGATATGTTATGTGTGCCTGTATATGCTTATGCACGAGAGTGCACACTAATGCACATGTATGTGAGAGTGCACTCAAAGTTAAGCTGATAGATATGGTGAAACAAGATATTATTGTATCAGTGATGATGCCTTAGATATTTAAGGAGTTGGCCTAAGTTCACATTTTAGTCCATCCCTCAGCACCTGCACTCTGCATGATTTATTGTACAAAGATGTATATGCAATACAATTACATTATTTTTTTAATTTCTAACTAATTAACCAAGTGATATCCTTGGTTTTATTAATTTTTTGAGACAAAGAGTGTGTAACTCTCCATGCCCTCCCCAATACACACACATGCACTCACACACTCACTCACACGCGGAACATTTTATCAGAAATTTTCAGACGTGACATTACAAGAAGGTAAAGAATTGCAAGCTAAGTTACATAGAAATGGGTATGTGTACGGGTACATGTACAGGACATGGCAAATTTATAAAAGGTAGGTACGGTACAACTATATAAATATTTATATACACATACATAGATTATATATTGAAATTAATAATTTACATGAGATCAATATTGTTTTCATTCTCTCGTTATAAGAATTAAAATTCCTATAATATTTATATGTTTCTTTTATTATGTGGATTATAAATTGGAAAACAATCATTTTTAAACTAGACATTTTAAAATAATTCTTCAAAACCTGGCCTACATTCAATGATTTTTAGGAAGCAGATGTGAAGTGTAGGATATGCGTCCAATAAGTGTATGAAAAGCGTTTTAACTTAATAATGTATATTGCATAAGTGAGAACATGCCCGAAGAAATGTATGCATATATGCAAGCAGTGTCCAAGGATTTTGGGTATGGATATGGATACATGCACACTTCAGTTAGGATTACCCAGATAACATAGAGCGCAAGAAACGAAAATGCAATAAATAAGGGATAAATAAGGGTTTCTCGATATTAGTCCCTTAAATATTCAGTTTTTTGTAGTTAGTCCTTCAAATCATTGAAATTGTTGTTAGATCCCCTAATTCTCATAAGTTGTTTCAAATTAATCCCTCCAATTAAGAGTAGAAGTTGCAATTGGAGGGATTAATTTGAAATAACTTATGATGATTAGGGAGCTTAATGCAACTTTAATGATCTAAGGCACTAATTCAAAATATGAAAGATTTAAGGGACTAATATGCCAAAAAAACCAATAAATAAACCGCACCATCACTCCTAGTGCACAGAAATGCAAATTCCGTGCGACCCCTATGCAAGAACTCGCTGAGCTTACCATCCTTATGTATGGTAGCTTGAACCTAGAGATCCTTTGTCTATTCTGATATGAGTTGCCCCGTCTGTCTTATAGGTGTCTGAATCCGCAAGACCTGCAGTGTCTAATGGCCATGAGTTGGTTGATCTTGAACATTTGCTTTGCCTTGGTCCCCTTATCTAGTGTGATAAGATCTGCCTAATGAGCAAATTCGATTGGAATGGCGTAGAGCATCTTCAACACAATTCTACATAAATTTCCAAGATTACTGGCACTCCTCCCTTCTGATAGATGAAAAAAAAGCAAATTTCTATTATTAATAAATAATTAACCAAATTACTTGGAAGTGTCAGATCTTCAAACTCTATATTTTTCATTTATGGCATGAAGATCGTGAGGAGTTAGTCTGCATAAGCTGACTAACTATGTGATTTTAGGCCAACTCCTTGGACAAGTTATCCGAGACATCATCCAGGGTAGTGATAAACTTCTTTGAGCGCATGTACAAAGAAGCGCACGCGTGCGTATGCATTATTGTTGAAAACTCTACCTTATGTTGAATTATTATGTTAGCATATTTTGTGCATGCAGGTAGGGTTCTCCTGATGCTGGGTAAAGTACAATTTGAACTTCAGAAACTCATGGATAGCTACGTAAGACCTAAAATATGTATGGAGAAAATTCATCATTTTTACCATTCTGATGTTGTATTTGCTTCTTGTCAGCGTATGCATATAGTTCAGACAATCACAACTCCATCAGAGTCTCTTCTCAAGGAGCTTCAGACTGTCGAGGTTTGCTTTTTGACTCTTTTTCTAACAGGGATGCTAAATTTAGCTGCTCTTCTTGCAACATTGAAAATATTTAATTGTAAATAAATCTGGGTATAGATGCACTATTGATACATCTTGATAATATTACTCTTTTAGAATTCGGAAGAGTTGACTCGAACATGTGGACCATGATATGTCCTTGTATGCCCTTACTTCGTTAAAGATGTAGAGGAACTAATACCAATGTTTATGAACCATATTCCATATTATGGTTCTTGGAAATATTTGACTTTTTAAATTTATTTCATATGTGCTGAGTTAGTTTTATTCTATGAACAATGTGGAAAATATATACAACATTATTTTAACAAATATTCTTCAGTTCTTCATATTGTCCTGCCATTTTGAATAAAGAGATAAGACATCATTGTAACCATTGTTCTTTAGTTTAATTCTCCTATCTGGGATGATCCAGATAGATAGGCAATGATTTGTAGCTGGTGATATAGCTTTCTGCATGTGGAATATATTTTATCTACAAACTTTCATAGATGGATTACTTTCACTGAATCTATTTTAATGCTGTCCTGTTTTATGTTTCATCTTCATTTCCTTAGTAGTGTATTTTTTTATTTACTCAGATATGATTCTTACGTTGCTTTTTTCAGAAGCTCTTGTATCCACAGCAAAGCCATAATAACTTTTGTTTAAAAAACCACGATAAGCAATTTTTCTAATTTTTCAAATGTAATTACTAGTATCTATTTTGGAAAAGATATATAATTCTTCTAATATGAGTACATTTTCCTATGAAGGAGATGAAGCAACAATGTGATGTTAAAAGGTATGTAGCAACTATTCTTACCATTTTATCTAGCCTTCTTTGTGACTACCTTCTCAAGTTTATTTTTATTTTTATTTTTTCTAGAGATTTATACAAAATCATGTTAGAGAGACATAGAGAAAAAGGGAGGAAAAAACATGTGAAAGGTGAATCAGTCTCATCAAAGCAGTTGCAAGATGCACGAGAAGATTATGAAGAGGAAGCAAACTTATTCATCTTCCGCTTGAAATCATTGAAACAAGGTCAATCCAGAAGTATTCTTACACAGGCAGCAAGGCACCATGCTGCACAGGTTAATTTCAGCTAACATTTAAATGCCAAGAATACATATTCTTCAGCTAGAGCAAAAACTCATATAGTAACTTCCATTCTTTCCCTGCTCGGAGTTCAGTTGAACTTTTTCAGGAAAGGATTCAAGTATCTAGAAGTTGTTGAACCACAAGTCAAAGCAGTTGCTTCACAGGAGCATATTGATTATCAGTTCAATGGGCTTGAAGATGATGATACAGAAGAATATGATGATTATGATGACGATGATGATGATTACTATAGTTATGACAGCAATGATAAGGCGGAACTGAGTCTTGACTATAGACAAGATGACAAAGATCAAGATGCACTATCTTCATCTACGAGCTCAATGGAGGTCAGGAATATTTTACTCGTTTAGTAATTTGCGTAGTTTTCATGGTAGTATATGAATGATTATTTTACTTCCCTTTTCTCATTTTTTGTAGTTTATCTTGTTTCATGTGTGACTTATTTGTGACAAACATGGTCATCGTTATTGAAATTTTCGTAACACTTTGTAGTTGATTTCAACCATCTTTACTTCATGGCAGTCGCCTCTGGCATATCCACTCCCAAATAGACTTAGCTTTTTAATGGGAAACAACATGGCATGTCATTACAGTTTCCCTGTAAAATACCTCAGTATATTGCTTTAGCCATATTCAAGATATAACTAGCAAAGATCTTTTTAGTATAGGCTATAATACACTTTGTATTTGTTGCTTATGCATTCTCTTTGACAAAGAATTGTTTGTTCTAGCTCATGGACGTAACTTCTTTATGGCTTCATTTTAGTGGAAGTTGTCTTTCATTGTAGAATATGGTAATGAATCTAGGTTATTGCAGTTCCAAACGTACGTAGTAGGTTCCCTATTAGAGTATGGCGCACTATTTTTAATCAAAAATTGTTGAAGTTATTAGAATATGCTACTTTGTAAAAATCCATTTGCATTGAATTAAGAATCTTCATATTTGAACTTTCAACTACGAAACCTACAAGTTTTCACTATAGATATCTTTTACTGTATCAACCTAAATTTCCACCTTAAATTTTTAGCAAGCAAATGAAAGCGTTACTTCTTCAAGAGTTATAGTCACTTCGTACTACACTCTGTTTCCAATTGGTGGTTATTCTGAATTTGCAGTTAAATCAAGTAGAGGAGCCAGTGATTCGAGCATCAAAAACAGAACCTGCAAAGGTAAACCTACCATGCTTTTCAATAATGAGTTGCAGTTCTTCTTGTCACTGTTGATTAATAGCTTCTTTTATTTTTAAAGTTAGCTGCATAATTTATATGTGCACACCCGTATCTTTTGCCAGATGTCTATGTCATGATATTGTTTATGTGCACATTTCACATTAAGATGAATTAGTTAATCAAATTTCCTGATGTTATCTTGTAACAATGATTCTCATAAGCTCACATGTTAGTGTCATTGACACTTTACAGAAGGGTATTTTTCTTCATGAACCCTTGTGAACTAGAGCCAATGTTGGACTCTCCTCTCTCACACTAAGAGAGACTCACATGCATGCACACGAATATGAACATAGGTGGATACATACAAATCCACAACACAGAAGATGCAAATTTATGCAAATGTATTAGTAAAAGGCATGGGAAATCTATCAGGTCAAGTGACACCATTCATTTTGTATAGCTGTAAGCGTTGCATTAGGACATACTACTAGTGGTAACACTGGTGCCAGCGAACTGTGATGCTTATGCACCATAATGCTTCTTTATGGAGTCTAGACGCTTGTGAAAGTTCACTTGAAGCTTTTGCTATAACTTAGATGGTTTCTGAAGATTGGAAGATCAAGAAGAAAGAGATGTAAATTTATAATATTGTCTAATTATAATAACATTATATTCAAAGCTGTTGGCATCTTATATATTTAAAAAGTGTGGATGGACACCCTACACTATGACCCAATTGGGGATAGACCCCCTCTAGTTCTATTGGTCTATCCACACTTGAGAAAATAGTAAAGGGGTCTATCCGAACTTGGGCAAATAGTAAAGGATGAATATATTGACGCTAGTTGATGAAGCCGAAGCCTAGACATAATAGATCTCACCACATGCGGTACCGATGCAGTGGGGAAAAGAAGGTTGAAGATGGCTCGGCCATCACAGAGGAACTCTTGAAGGCACTGATGGTCATGTCCAGAGTTCACGCTTGGGCACCACATCACCACTATACATAAGGTAGCAAGCCATGTACTAGTTGTAGGGGATTGGCAGAAATTTGAGGGCATTGACTGAATTTAACCTTCGCTGGTTATCAGATGATAAACAAAAACACCAAAGAGTGCCAGTGGAGGATCAAGGTGCAGCAATTGATCTGGAGGTTGACCATGATTTCTATGAAGGCGCGATCGAGGAGGTCAATGACGCTGCGTCATAATAAACATAGGGGGAAGTTTTGGATTTGTGGTTGAAGACGAGATAATCCATGTTGGGCAATTGGGTTAGGATGCGGTGGGAGGTTATCTGATCCCTCAGCAGAGTGCAAACACAACAGAAACCATGGAAGATGAATGTTCGTCGGATAGGGGTGGTATTGGGGAGAGTCTTTGACGAGGAGTTGGGTGCATTTTGGATTTTTAAATGAAAAGGGTTATAGGACCAAAGATTTTTTTTTTTTGGAATTTGCTAGGGATTTTTGCAATACTAGCACAATGGAGCTTGGGCTGCCAAGGGATGAGGGTTTACCGTGGATGATTTTGAAGGAGATGAGCATGAAGAATATGAGGATGGACATGGGTTTTTGAGGTAAATCACCTCTTTTTCCTTGTGGTACATAGGCAGAGCACCAAGAAAATGGTGCTGTGGCCAGAACTTTAAAAAGTCCCTCGTGGAGGGTCCATGGTCATGGAGGATCCATGGTCATGGAGTTGCCCGGCAAAACTAGGAATCTGACAAAGTCACAGAGCGGGAAAGCTTGAAGATATTACATGGCTGTTCCTGTGAACAGTGATAGCATGTTCTCCATCAATGGCTCTAAGGTTTAGGGCATAGGAGTGGGAAAGGGGGTTTCTAGAGTTGGGATTTCTGCCCCGATATATGTCAACAGTTGGGAAAATTTTATCTTCTTGTTGATTGATTCAATCGACTATAAGATAATGCCCGGTATATCGACATACTGTAGGCTACCTTCAGAAAGTTTTACAAAAGAAAAACTATAATATAAAAAAGCTATGAGAAAAGTGTGCTGGATATGAAACTCTTTAGGACAAATTTTTCAAATAAACCAAGTCTAATATTTAATCGCAAAAATTGACCTTTTTATTTATTTATCATTTTCGACCTAATATCGGTAGTTAGCTTAACGTAAAAAGATCGGGTTTGCTATATACAGAAAGGGTAAGGGTTTGAGGATTGTTTTTCAGCATCATTAAAGTCTAATTAAAATTCTTCCATGTTGGCTAATATAACAAACTTTCTATATAAAAAAAATATGACAAATTTTCCAAACCTATTAAAAAAACAAACTTTCCTTGTGTAAAAATTAATCAGGCCACGAGAGAGCCACCAACAGAAGGGCTTGATTCCAGCCTGTAATGACATGTATAAACCACACTTTAATGTGGTTATTAATAACAGACCTTATATATTTCCCTGTCCATTTCTGGCTCAAAGAAGCAATCAAGTGCTGTCGGATCTTTTTTTATAATTAAAGTGCTAATTACCGGGGTTTCTCAATGCGGGATAATTAGGGAAAATAGAGTTTTCAAAACTGACCTACTTCTGACTGAATTGGCACAAATAGGTGGAAAATGGTAAATAAAGTAAAAAGTAGATTGATTTTTATAATTAAATATTAAAATCGGATTATTTTAATAATTTCTCCTACTATTTAAAAAGTGATACTACATAAAAATGTTCATACAATTTATCTGTTTAAAGAAACTGTCTACAAACTCAATTTCAATATTGCACCATTAGAACATTGTTACCATTTGGAAGCCTAGATGGAAAAGATGTTTTTCTAGCAGTGCCAAGAATTTTGAGAATCTAACACCAATGATTTGTACTGTTTTCCTTCTTTTTAGTATTTGTGTACGTTTATGCATGTACATACCTTACATATACACACATGTACTCCATACAAATAGATGTACATAATATACAGTTGAAAAAGCACATAAACTATTTGATTTAAATGTGCACAGCTTGTATAATCACCTATTATTGCTCAGCGGCACAAATTGTAATGCGTGTATCCTGACCTGTCTATGTGCAAAACTACAAACCATAGTTGTATACCTATCTTTATAGTTTCGTGGATCAGCTAGTCTTGGGATACATGATATCATAGGATGTATATTACTATACTATAAAACAAATCATATTTGTATACCTATAGTTTCACAGATCAGCTAATACTAGGATACATGATATCACAGACTACTATATTAGAAAACAATTCATGGTACACCTAGTTCTTGTGTCATCTTCTTTAAATGTTTAACTGATGTTGTTTTAAACACTTGACATCAGCTAATGCAGGAAAATGTAGACAGAAATGAGGCAGAAGTTCCCAAATTTTATAAAAGACCTAGTCCTAGAAGCCACTCAGCACCCATTTTCCCTGATAAAGTGTTCGATCCAAAAGAAAGGATAAAACAATTGCGACCTTCATCAACAAGGAAGTTTCATACTTATGCTCTACCCACACCAGTAGATGTGAAGCACTCAGTTTCCATAGGCTCTGTTGGAAAACCCTCCCAGTTATGGCATTCATCTCCCTTGGAGCCATACAAATTCATTCAAAATTCCAGAGATGATGTAATGCCAAGCCTCGCCAAATTCCCAAAAGCACATACAGTGAAACCAAAAGAAAGTAATATCAACAGTAGTCCTATCAGGATGCCTCCTCCTTTGAGTGAGGAACTGGCAAGACCTCATTTCAGTCCACAGACAGGTTCTAATGTTAAAAAAGTCAGACAGTATGCTTACTCCGGTCCATTGACAAGTGGCCATTGGTCAAACAAGCCCGATGATAGAGATGTCATGCTGCCATGTGTGCGAACTCCTCAGCCATCTCTCTCTCCAACAGCAACTTGTAATATCTCACCTCCACCGATGATTAGTGAACTTCACGAGCTTCCAAGACCGCCAATTGGTTTGGTGAGATCTACTAGGCCTGCAAGTTTAATTGGTCATTCAGCGCCTTTGGTTTATCAAGGACAAGATCCAAACAAGAGGACAGGCCAAACATCACCATTTGCGTCTTGTACAGCATCTCCCCTACCAACACCACCTGCGGCTGTGCGCCGAAGTTTTTCAATACCCTCACGAAGAATGCCATTGTCACAGGTTGCTCAATTTTTGGAGGATACTAGTAATAAGGACTTGATTGAAGATTTTGCTCCGCGTCATCTGCCACCTATATGTCTAAAGAACATCTATCCAGCATCACGAGCTTCAGAGTCAGTTACTCGAGCGACAAAAGAAAAAGGTAACTTGCAGTTTCTGGACCATGTAGCTTCTTCCATTTTGATTTAATGATAGTTTCATTTATTACTTGCACAAGAAAGCCAATTCTTGCATTGTATTTACAGCCAACATGCACATGCACAATGCACATGATCTAAAACCTACTATAAATAATCAAACAAAAAAAATTGCATATTGTATAACCTAACCAGCTAAAAACTTTCCTGCAAAATATCTTGAGTTGTTACAGTATGCGTCATTCTAATCATAAATTTTATTCAACAGAACCTTGATGGAATATTTAATTGAATTTAAATCTGTCAAGTTTGCAAACTGTTTAGCTTTGTTCATATAAATTCTTAAATAGAAAATTATTTTTAGTGCATATTTTATGCAGGTCAAAAATGCAAGAGACAAAATAGATATAAAATCATATATTATGATAAAAGTGGCATATTGATTGCCAACAATAAGATGTACTAGGAAAATAAAGAAGATTTCATTAGTATCGTTAAAATTACTATGATTAAATCTGCATTTGAGTTTTTTTATTTTTGGAACAATTTGTTCTATTTGTTTAAATTCATACCAAAAAATCACTGTTTAACATGCACACTTATCTTGTTCCAATGGTCGTAGTCCTTACCATATCTTTAGGTGTTTTGACTAAGACTGTGCAGTTGATCTTGACAAGCCACCCTTGCATGAATTTGCAGATGATCTTATGGTTGACATAATCAAAAAATTTTCTTCTTGTATAAAACTCTAAATTAATCATCATTGTATGAAAAAAAACATATTTACAAATCTATTATCTAATTATTTAATGGTTTCCGATTTACTCAATTTTTGGCATATATTTATTTGCTAGTATATCTGACAAGAAAAACTGTAGTAGTCAGATCAAATTAACTGTGTTCGTATAACCTTAAGTAAACTTTTCGGAAATCTGATCCATGAAGAGTGAAATGGAACGAATTGTAGTAATTTGTGAGTACTGAAAAGTGTACAAGATGACTACTAAAAGCTTCTGCAATATCGAAAAATACTTTTAATTACTTGAACTTCCTTCGGTAGTGGCTTTTAACTGATGAATCAGACTACTAATCAGGCCTAATAAACTGTTAGCTTCTTCATTTGCAGAGTACATGTGATCAACAGGCACTTGGTGCCTCTGGTGTATATAGTAGTCTGTGGATTCTCAGATCGATTTTGCCACACTTCTCTAGTCTTTGTGATGAGACCTAGTGTTGATTATTCTCTTCAGTCATAGGATCCATTAAGGTTTTGTTTTATTTACTGCAATAAGCAGTATATTCTTATTGTTATTTTAGTTTCTTAGAATTAAGTGTATAAGTGATGAAAAACAACTGCAAGGAGCTATGCACGATTTTTTTTTATAGTGCATTTGTAACATATCATAGTTGCTTTTTTGAAGTCGACAGAAATGCCCTTATATATTCTTATTTTTCTAGAGTTCAAAAGTTTTGTTGACTATCATTAATCTATCTCTGACAACAGAGTATGGTCCCTGTGGTTCTAATGGCAACATAAGTGGAATTTGTTGTTTATTTCGTTTTAAAAATGGGATTAATCGAAAGAAGGAATAGGGGAGACAATGTGAGTTTAGATTGCTGGGGACTAGTTACTGGTAAAATTGTTACATTTTAGTGAAGATATGCACATTTTGAAAATACCCATCGCTTAATTTGATTGATGGAATTTGTATCTCAAGAACATCTCTCTCTTGTCTGAAGTTACGGTAAGTATCTGAATAAATATTTTGTTTCTCCCTCTTTGCTTTGGACTAACTAAAATTTCATTTGGCCTACAATGAAAGATGCATCTTCATTTAATCTCTCCTCTCTTCGCAGCAACAAAAGTATGTACTCAGCCACATTCCTTTAAATTACAACATTTATCCGACAACAGACCACCTTACATTCCAAATATATACACATTAGCAAAATGGCATGAATTAATGAGAAACTAAAGTATCCCAGCCATCAACATAATTATACAATGGACTACAATCCAGCACCAAAAACCTCTAATTCCTTCCCCCTTTTCTTCCTATAAATTCTATGATTCCTCCTGATATCCATAAAGATCCCAACAGATGAAGATTTGAGCGGTTTCGAGAAGTTCTCAGAAACAGTTGTCTGAGGTTTTAAACCATTCTGAACTAGAGTTGCCAGTGGTCGACCAGCCTCAACCTTTGAGTCAAAGAAAGATGAAGTGAATGACGCTGTTGTAATCCCGACCGCTCCATCTTGATGTGGTGGAGGGAACTTTTCGCTCTTGCTCGTTGCATTTATGTTGGCTATTATCCTCTGTCGCTGTATGGTAGAACCAAAGAGAATTAATGCAGTTGAGATTGCTACGAATAGTAACTGTTGAAACTAGAGAGGTAACAAGAAGTTGAAGAAGCTTTTATAATTACAATATAGATCAGATACAACAAATCTTGCATACACTTCAACCATACTGGTAATTACGTGCTCTGCTCACTATGAAGTAGACAAATAAGGTAGCTAAATCACCAACTCATCATGTCCAAAGCTCAGCATCTTTAACTCTTTTGACAGTAACTAAAATGGTTTGTTTCGGTTTTTGAATGAAAATTCATGTAGAAGATTAGTACATACAAGAACAAAATGGTTTGCAATGTCATGTGATGCATCAAGAATGAATAGAAAGTACTTAAGGAATCAGAAGAGTATTTTAAGTATGTGTACAGGTGAAATTGACACCCAAAACAAGTGATTCGTGCACATAACAGTGCTTGTGTTTGAATTCCAGAAATGAAGTGACAAGCGAAAACAACATTTACTACTAGGCGAAAAATGTTTCTATAGGGGACACACAGTTTGTCAGATAATTAAATCAACTCTAATGAGAAAATAAAATTTAACATTGGCAGTGCATATAATATTTTGAGCTGCTTTCTGGCATGTTTCTGATTTTCCATAATGGACTAATCTAATGCCTGCATCATTCATTTCTCCTATATGTGTTTTTTGTTTACTACAAAGAAAGGTCAAGATTGAATGTAGTTATTTTTCTCTTCATAGCTACTCCTGTGATGGTTTCGTTACTTTTAAGCTAATTAGCTTCTTTTCTTGAGGATTTATTTAAGGAAAAATTTACAAAATAGACCATTTTTATGAAATATATAGCGAAATAGACCACTTTGAAAAATAATTAGCAAAATAGACCTCTTTTGAAAAAAAGAGGTCGATTTTGAAAAACAAGGCTCAGAAAACATACGAGACTACTACTCCCGTATGTTTAGAGCCAACTAATCACGGATTAGTGACTCAGAAAACATACGGGACTAGTAGTCCCGTATGTTTTGAGTAGAAAATTTCACTAATCCGTGATTAAAACATACGGGACTACTAGTCTCGTATGTTTTCTGAGTTGTTTTGCAAAATAGACCTTTTTTTGGCCTGTTGGCCAAAAAGAGGTCTATTTTGCTAATTATTTAGCAAAACAGTCTATTTGACTGTTTTGCTAAATAATTAGCAAAAACGGTCTATTTTGCAATTTTTCCCTTTATTTAACATGAAAGACTGAAGATTGGAGATTTGGTTGTTGACATACTTCTAAGTTAACTTGTAGCTCAGCATTTGCCTCCGGAGCAGGAACTGCTCTGCTTCGGCGTTCATTGGTTCTCTGGTCATAGATTCGAGCTTTGTTTCTTCTGTTACCATTTCTTTTGCCATCAATTTTTCTTTGCCTAATGAGAACAACAGTTAATTTGTTAGTAAACTAAATATAATTGCCAAAATATTAAACCGAAAAGAGAAAATTCCCACCTTCGATCTTTTTCATCCCTCAACTTTGCATCCATTTCTTTGCTTGGAGGATAGTGAGGCAGGCTTGATGGTTCACAAGCATAAGGCTTCGTAGTAAAGAACTGCAACAAAGGAGAAACTTTCTTAGGGTAAGTTTCACAAAACCTGCTGAAATTTAGTGGGTTTTGCACATAACCCCTGAAACCCCCTGAATTTTATAAATCTTAAGAACACTAAACTTGTCTCACTTAAGTACCATGACCGACAAGAACTCTATATCATCCTTTTTGCTTAAGCACCCTGAAACTCCTACTGAATGTAACTAACAAGTAAGTAAGCATAGATCAGGTTTTTTTACTCTACCGGTCAACACAGCTTATGAGAGTTTCCGACAGTTCAGGGGGTTAGGTATAATTTTGAGTTCATGGAGTTTTTTTTTGTGATTGCAAACCTCACTGTTTAAAGCTGAAGTTGCTGTTCCCCGTTCATCCGGGTCAATTGAGAGTAAGGTTTCGATTAGTGAAAGTGAAGAAGGCGAGAATTCCTTATAGGTCTCGGCAATACAGCGTTTATATGGTTGCTGAGGCTTGAACATGGTTGCATGATGCAGCTTTGATTTCTTCCAGTACTTCTCTGAAGGGGAGCCACACAACTTAAAGATCCTATGCAATTGTTCTACCTGAGAAATAAATTTTGAAAAAATAAGCCATCTGAAACTATACAGGTACATGTAGGAGAGTAGAAGAAGTTCTCCATATCATTTCAATGGCCAAGACCATTTGAGCCTGAGGACTACCGATATATGTTCCAATCAAAACACAGTGCATAAAAATAAAGAAATGGTTTACTCTTGTATGACATGCTCTGAAATCGAAACCCACGTATAATGTGAAATGTTTGAGGACATGAACTAAACCAAGATCTGAGATTTAATCACATATATGTATTATTAAATGATCAATTTAATGGGTTTCCCCCCCATTTGAAGAAAACCAAAATATACAACACATGTTGGATTATTCGAGACTTGTAATTGTCAAGAGCATTGTTTTAAATATCCTCGACATGGCCCGATATATCCTTTTACAAGGCTTGCCGCAACCGATATAGTCTCTAAATATCATTTACCGCTTTTTGGGTATTTTGGGCGATGTATCCCCGATATGACCTATATATCAGCTAATATGTGGGCCGATATATGCTTTTATATGGCTTGTCGCAAAACAATATATTGCGCTTGACAATTTTTGGGCGTATATCAAATGACATTTTGGCCTAAAAAAATTAAACCAAATGTTGCAATGTTGATTTGTTTTTTTATTTGTTTTACAAGGATGATTAGTAATCCTAAGCATATATTATTTACATTTTATATGCTTAGATTTGTGTGTGTGTATATGAAAAAAATGGGTATACTTGGTACCAAGCACAAATTTTGTGCTTGGTAGTAAGGTGTCCTATTCTCATCCACTCATTCCAATTCTCAACCACTCTCCAACCCATGTGAATGTGGGCCTCAATTTCAATGAGTGAAGGGGAATATGTCACCTCACTACCAAGCACAAAAACTTATGCTTGGTACCAAGCATACCCATTTCTCTCTCTCTCTCTCTAAGGGGCTGTTTGGTTGTATGTTTTTACCATGTAAAAGGATGGAAAATGTAAAAAAGTGGGTCCTAATGTCAGTTTTCATCACTTTTAATTGTTTGTTTGTAGTTGTGAAAATAGTGTAAAGTGATTTCATATGTTGATGTGGCTTGTAAAGTGATTTCATAAAAAAAAGACATGATTTTAGGAGAAAGCTGACATTGAATTCAGGAAAAAATAATAATAAATAATTCCAACCAATATAATCATTTGAGTAGGGACCACTTTTTACACTTTCCAAACAAACAATTAAAGATATTACATTTTAGTGCATTATACTATATATGAAAACATCCATTATAGCATTCCGATATTTACCACATATCCCCGATATGTACAATCTGATATGAATTTTGGACATCCGATATTTTCCCGATATCTAACATTTAAAACCTTGGTCAAGAGTTGTACGAAGGTTTAGAGAAGAATATGGACTTCCTAGACTTAGGAAGCTTGCATTGATAGGATGTTAAAGGTCTGGTAATTTTATACCCCCTCATTGATTGATTGATTGATGTAAAAAGAGGGGAATATCCTGTATATGAATGTACACATTATATATACAGAAAGTCCCAAGAAGAGAAAGAATATAAGAAAGAAATACTACAATTAAAGAGTTGGACCAAGGTTTAAAGAAGAGGAACCAGCTTATTCTTATGCCTCGTTAATTGGAAAGGTTTTTCTTTTCCCCGCCTCATTGATTGTGGTAGAAAATGGTACATCTTGCATATGTACACATTTTGCAGGTTATAGGAAAATTGTAATAAAGCAAAACGCCGTATTTAACAGTAGTGCAACATAGAGTTTTCTATATAAATACCTCTTAAATATATTGCAAAACTGCCCCAAATCATAAATACCACCCAAATCAACAAATCATCTAAATTTGATAGGCTAATTTGTAGCTCTAATGTAAAAATATCAACAAAATAGTCAAAATTTTACTCAACATATCCTACAAAGTTGATGATTTGTTGATTGGGGGTATTTTTTTGGGAGTTGATGATTTGGGGGTAGTTTTGCAAACACACAATTTTAGGGGTATATATATCAAACCCTTCAATATAATGAACATTTCTGAGAAAGAAATTTTGGAAATTTCGACACCTCTGTTCGTCCTGGAAGTATCGGTTTTCCCACAAGCAGCTCAGCCAATATGCAACCTGCACTCCAGAGATCAACACCGACACCATAGTAAGTTGCGCCTAAAAGGAGCTCAGGAGGACGATACCAAAGTGTGACAACTCTACTAGTCATGGGTTCTTTCTTGTCAGGATCAAAAGTAGAAGCCAACCCGAAATCTGCAATTTTAAGAATCCCTTCATTGTCAAGAAGCAGATTTGAACCCTTGATATCACGATGAAGGACTCCTTGGCTATGGCAGTGTTCGAGGCCAGAGAGTAGCTGTTTCATGTAGAACTTGACCTGTTACAATATAACATGAGGAGAAGTTCATAAGCAACTAATTTTGTTTGCCATACATCTAAAATGTACTAAACACCATCGCGCTACCTAATAATATCTTCGGCTATAGGCTAATGTCGATAATAAAGTTATATTCATTACTAGAAGATAAAATGAGAAGATCATAATAAGATGATTGAAGTGATAATAAGAGAAGCATATTATGTTATCTAAAGAACTGACAATTTCCAATCTAAGACAAGAAACTACCGTAAAGAAGTTCATATTACTTTTTCTGAATGTAGTGATTTATTACAATTTTTGACAGCACAATTAGCTAATCTATAAAGGGCATTTTCTCTTACAGCTTATTCATATGCACATCAGGGTCCAAAAGGAGGTAATCAAAGAAATGCCATTACTCATGCTAATAGGTCAAAAGAAGCCAGACTTGTCAAGCTCATCAAACTTATCTTCTGACTGCCAAATGTATTTCACCATATCACAGAATTCTCTAAAACATATCAAAAATAAAACACTTGGCGAACATCATTATCACCTGAGGCTCAGTGAATTTGATGCCAGGGGACGCTGCGAGTCCTGCAAGATCATGCTCCATGTACTCGAACACTAAGTAGATTGAATGTGAGACTCTAGATGTTACTAAGCCTTCAAGCTTGACGATATTGGGATGGTCTAGCCTTCGGAGTACTGAGATTTCTCTTGCCATGAATTTTACACTCTCTAGCTCTGTGATATCGAATCTCACTTTCTTTAATGCTACGATTTTTCCTGTCATTAGGTCTCTGGCTTTGTATACATTGCTATATGTGCCTTGGCCAATCTAAACATGAAAAAATTCGCAGAAGTTAGATGAAGCGAGCTAGAATTCTTGCAGGACCTAGTCCGTCATTGCACGATTCATTTTTATGATTAAGAAAATCATGCAGAGAACTAACTAAAAGATCATTTCAGTAAACGTAAAATACTTTTTATTTAACACACGTTTACAGAAGGGAAAATGATAGGGACACACCTCCAACCACAACCTTAACCACACCCCCTCTCTCATTGCTACAGTGTACCGGGCCCCACATGAGATTTTGAAATTTTAAAATCTCATGTGGGGCCCGGTGTACTGTAGCAATGAGAGAGGGGGTGTTGTTGAGGTTGTGGTTGGTGGTGTGCCCCTAGTGCCACCCTTACAGAAGTAGGTCCAACCAAACGAGAATTTATTCAATATTATGTCAAGAGAGCAAATTCTTCTACCAAAAGTAATACACCTTTTTCCCAACAACTATGAGTATTTGTAGCGTTAATACAAGTTTTTAGCATTTGAGAATAGTTCAGTCAAGCATGCTTAACTTTTTAGAATTAAGGGAAATAATACAGAGTACTTGTCAAAATAAAATGAAAAATGAAAAAGAAAGAGACTTTTGCATATGTACTTCAAAAATCTTCCATATCGCAAATTTACCCTCCAAATCTTAATATGTGCAAAATTATCGTCACAAATCTCTCACATTAGATCTTTCTGTCCCTCAAAACCCAACAATGCGGGTTCTAAATAGCACCATGTCAAAGTTTTGCAATAGCTTTGCATCATTTTCCCATTTAAAAACTAAAACTGTGAAGTGGGAAGGGTAGGAAAACTCAATGCGGGATAATTGGGGGTACCAAGATTTGAGGCACCAATTTGCAAATAAGGAGATGTGAGGGGTATAGATGAAAAAATCCCTACAAATTAATTCCCTTAAAATGCAATTTCCTTTTATTTAAGAAAATAAACCTATTTATAATATTTAGCTAAAAACAAGCAAGACTTTGTAGGGGATTTTTTCCATCTGTACGCCCAATAAATTAAAAAATATATGTTGAAGCGTTCTACTGAACATTATTGAAACTCTACACTAACACCCCTCCCCTTTCCACATAATTACACCCTAATCCCCTCCCCAAAGGAGACTTGTTAGTACCTTATCAAGCTTCTGGAAAGAGTTCAGCGGTCGCGGGCGCCACCCTTCGATGGCCTCGCGCGCGCACGCGCGCACGCGCTGGGCCATCCAAGGATCCCTCGGAGTCGAGCGCAGGGAAATTCTTCCCCCTGCCGGCGTCCTCTGACCGGTGGCGTCGGCCGCTGCGGTGACGGGCTCTTACGGCCACCGCGGCGTCGGACTGGATCGCAGGCCGTTGTGAGGCTTGCTTGAAGGCCACAAAACCCATGTGCGGCCTGTACGTTAAGGTCAATGTAGTGGATGGTGCCGCGTCACCGCCCAGCGATTTTTCCGGGAAGGGAAAGGCTGAGGTGCCGTCACCGCCGGCGGGGTGATTTGGAGAGAGAAGAAACGGTTAGAGGGAGAGAATGGGGAAGGCTTTGCGGTTGCGGGGGGTTTACAATGTCTTTGGCTGCCAAGTTGTCAAAGGAAACAGACATGGTTTTTTGATATTATTACAATAATGACACTATCCTAGTGACTTTTTGTTCTCCTTTTTCCACGCATTTATTAGGATCACAGTATTGCGCAACTTTGCGAGGTGAGCATTCGTGTTCGCTGAGTTCAATAAACCCAAATAAATAGCAACATGTTGTGATTTTTTTAGCGCCTGTTTGGATTCGTAGGGGGTGAAGGGAAGTTAAGGGAAACTGAGTGCAGGAAAGGGAAGGAAAAAGAAGAGAAGGGAAAGGAAGGGAAGGGAAGGGAATTCCCTTCCCCTTGGTTACACCCCAATTTGGGGGGTAATAATTTTTATACTATTAGGGGGGTGAACCAAGTTGAATGGAGGTGAATTAACTTCACCTCCTAAGTGTTTCCAAACAAGGTGAATGGAGGTGAATGGTTCCCCTAACTTCCCTTCACCCTCATTCCCCTCAATCCAAACAAGCCCTTAAGAAGTGTTTCAGGGGCTGTTTGGCTGCTGTTGATAAAGTTGTGTATTTATGACACAATTTAGAAAGTTGTTGTCCACTTCATTAATTTTACTTTTATATTTTTCTTTGTTTGTTTTTGATTCTATAGGAATCATAAATTGCTTGTTTGGTTTGTAAATGTAACTTTAATCGTTTGTTTGGAAAGTGTAAAAATCGGTCTCTACTCAAATGATCATATTGGTTGGAATTATTTTTTATTATTTTTTCCTGACTTTAATGTCAGCTTTCTCCTAAAATCATGTTTTTTTTTATGAAATCACTTTACAAGCCACATCAGCATATGAAATCACTTTACACTATTTTTACAACTACAAACAAACAATTGAAAGTGGTGAAAGCTGACATTGAGACCCACTTTTTTACACTTTCCATCCTTTTACATGGTAAAAACATACAACCAAACAACCCCTTAAGAATAAACTAGTTTGTCCCCCCCCCTGCAATAACCAGAAATAAGAGAGATGATCAAATGTACGTGTATTTAAAAACGAATGGAAGAGAAAAAGAAGATGGAGTTCCATATTAACGTAAAAGTAATGATGCATAGAATTGTTGGATTTTTTGGTTAAAACCATTTTTAAAAAAAATAAGTTTTCAAACTATGTATTTATTAACTATTGGTGTTTTTCAGAAATACTTAATAGCGTAGTGGAAAGTTAAAGTTTTGGTGTTTCAAAAGGTGTGTTTGATGCTTGACAACGGCAAGCCGAGATTGTTTTTATTCAATTAATCACTCATAAGTTCTTATGGGCCGGGGGTCGTGAGCCCGTGGGCCGTGGGCCGTGGGTCAATGGGCCGAGGATCGGGACTATTCGGACTGAGGCGCTAAGTGACGCTTTGTAAGGCGCACTTTGTACTTCGCATGGAGACATCGGGGCTAGGCGGCGCCACGCAGGCTGCTTCGCAGCAAGTGAATGTGACTCTCACGTTTCACACGAGGAAGCAACCCTCGAGTTTGCGAGAGGGAACGCAACCCTCGCGTTCACGCGAGGGTGCGACCCTCGCGTTCGTGAGAGGGAACACGACCCTCGCGTTCGAGAGGCTCGACGCGACCCTCGCGTTGCGTAGAAACGCGAACCTCGCGTTCAGGCATTACTACATTCAACAATTAAAATTGCATGCAGTAGTTACATCAATTAAGTCATTTGTTATTACAATCATAATTGTCAATATAATTTATAACAGCAAATGACCCTTGAGTTAGTCTTAGAGGTCTATAAATAGAGCCCATCGGGGCAGCTCTTAGATATAAAAAAACACATTGAAGTGTTTAAGCTGTTGTGCTGCTGCTACAGAGTTTGAAAGCATGCACGATTTAGTCAGTGCCCGAAGGAATAGAGCCCTGAACTGAAAGGTTATTACAGATCGAAAGATCTTTGTCTTAACCGAAATGTTTTTGAACCGAAAGATTTTAACAGATCAAGGAGATCTTTGCATGAACTGAAATGTTTTAACCGAAAGGTTTTGAACCAAAAGGTTTTGAACCGAAAGGTTTAACAGATCGAGGAGATATTTACCTTGACCGAAAGGTCTTATAAATCGAGGAAATCTTGACAGTACTTGGTCGGTATACACCAGTGTACTGTATTGTTGTTCCTGAAAGCAGTTTAGTATTGGGATCCTTGCACCGAAGTAGGATAAATATTACTTTAAGCACAGCGTTTCATAAACGTACAACAACTAAACTTGAAAAAGTTTTAAAATACAGCACTTCAGCTCTCTAACAGATTTATCTGTTTTATTTTAGATTTAGCCACAGGCGCCAATAATCTTAAAGTAATATTTTTGATCTACCATAGATCCTGCGATGAATCTTGGAGTAACCTGTCTTAAGTTAGAGAACTTTGACGGATCCAACTTCAACGCATGACGTTGGAAAGTGATCTTCAGAATGCAACTTCTAAAAATCTATTATGTGGTTTCTGAGGAGAAACCCGACTCTGAAGAAGATTCTGAGTCTAAAACCTCTTGGGCTAGAGATGATTACTTCTACAAGAGTTATCTCCTTAACTGTCTGGCCGATCATTTAGCATATGCTTACACAAAGAAGGCATTTGTAAAGAAAATCTAGAATGCTCTAGAGGATCAGTACAAGGATGAGGAGAAGTTGTCCAAATTTCACATCATTGATACGTTTTTAGACTTCAAGTATGAAGATGACACTGAGGTTTTGCCTCAAGTCAAAGAGCTTGAAAAGCTTGTTATGAAGCTGAATGATGAAAAAATCAATCTTTGTCAAACCTTCATTTCTGGTGCAATTGCCAACAAGATTCCTCTATCTTGGATGTCATTCTTCACTGATATTCGAAGAAGGAAAAGACAGGTGACTCTGTCTGATTCGAAGAAGTTTATTCAAATCGATGACGAGATTCGAACTCGCACGAAAATTGAGCTCCTTGCTAAGCAGAAAGTGTCTGTTAACATGGTGGCTGCTAACTTTGAGAAGTGTAGTGGTTCTTCTTCCAAGAAGAAAAAAATTCTTTTAACAAAAAGAAGAACCAGAATCCGAAGAACCTGAACGTTCAGAAGAAAGAATTCAAGAAGAGCAAGAGCGGTAAATGCTTCAACTGTGAAAAGCAATGACATTTTGCCAAGGACTGCAAAGTACCAAAGAAGGGAACAACATACAATATCAATAAAGTTGACAATTGTGTGGCTATGCTCTTTTAGGTGACAACTCCCAGCAACATCTCTGTTTGGTGGTTAGATACAAGTGCTACCTATCATGTCTGCTCCAACAGAGATTTGTTCTCTTCTTATATTGTTGTCAAAGAGAATGTATCAATGGCTGATCGTTCTGGAGTGTCTGTTCTTGGAACTGGAATTGTGGTGCTAACTCTCTCTTTAAGGAAGACTCTCATATTGAAGGATGTGAAACATGTTCCTTCAATTATTAAAAACTTAGTCTCTGAAAGCCAGTTGTGTGATGCAGGTATGAGGCTGGATTTTTAAGGAAGAAATATTGTGTTATCATTTAAGAAAATTTATTTTGGCAATGCATATCGTATTGATGGCATATATAAGATCAGTACTATTGTACCCAACTCAATTATAAATAAAATATCATCTTCTGCTTACTCCTCTGCATTATGGCACAATAGGTTGGGACATGTAAATTATAGAAAACTATTAGCATAGAGAAGTTAAGATTACTTCCAAAATAGGGGGGTGACAAACCTGAGAAGTGTAAAGTCTACACACAAGCGAAACTAACAAGGAAGCCCTTTCCAAGTGTCACAAGGAGCATCAATCTATTGGATCTGATTCACTCAGATACTTGTGACTTCAAGAGCTTCTTCACTCGAGGCGGCATGAAGTACTTCATCACCTTCATTGATGATCATTCTCGCTTCTGCCACGTCTATCTGCTAAAATCTAAAGATGAATCCTTCAGCATATGTATCGAGTTTTAGACTTGTGTGGAGAAGCAGCTTGGACTTCAGATGAGAAAACTCAGGAGCAACAGAGGAGGAGAGTATCGATCTAAGGATTTGGAAGCATACTTCAAGGAGCATGAAATCATTGCTAAAACTACTGCTCCGTATATTCTCCACAATCTAATAGGATTGCAGAAAGGAAAAATCGCACATTGACCGAGATGGTGAATTCGATGCTAATCACATCTGGTCTACCTACATGCTATTAGGGAGAGGCTATGCTGATGGCTAACTGGATTCTGAACAGAGTACTCTATTTCAAAACTGACAGTACTCCTCATCAATTATGGTTGGGATATCAAGATTCTTTGGATAGTCTCAAAATGTGGGGGTGTCTCGCATATGTTCGAGTTCCAGATATCAGAAGACCTAAGCTCAGACCAAAGACAAATAGGTGTGTGTTTCTTAGCTTTGCTAAAGATAGCGATGCTTACAGATTCCTGGACCTTGGAACCAACTCCGTCATTAAAGCTCAGGATGCAGAATTCTTTGAGGACAAGTCTATCAAGGATAAATGTTTATTGCTCCAAGATATACCAGAGAATGTTAGTACGTCAGACGCACCAGAGATCATTGAAGCTCGGGATGCAGAGAATGCTAGTACGTCAGAAGCACCAGAGGAGCCAGTTTTGCGAGAAACTAAAAGTGTCAATGATGAAGGAGTTACTGAACAATCTTACAA